TCAAAAAAAAAAAAAACAAAAAAACAAAAAAAAAAAACCTCACTGGTTTTAAGTGATCAAATCCAGTTTTTCAATGAAAACAATTATATAAAAAAGTCCTTATTGCCTTCACTTGTTTCCAGCCAAACTATTTTCTCTGATGTTCTATACATTTCTATAGAAATTCAGAAGCACCTTTGCAGATAGGATGCTATTGATGTGTGCCTTTGTTGTTATAACAATTTTGTTCCCAAAAAGTTTTTGTTTTTTATTAATGTTTATAATAAAAGCATAAGAAAACTTGCTATTTGTAGGAACCTATAATAAACCCTTTTATGGAATAAATAGGTTTTTCTAAGTCACACTCATTCCTAATTAATCTTATGTAGAAATGTAGCGTTCTCGACATATAATTTCTTTTGAATCCCTGAAGTTTTCCTCTCCCCAGTACTTTTCCTCTCTCATTTGCGTGATGATTTTCAATAGAGGGAAGGAAGAACAGCCTGTCAGAATCTTCAGATTGGGATTTTAAACTGTTTAAGGTCCCACTCAATGGGTTCTACATTACCACAATTTTAAAAAGGTTTGTTGAACTATTATATACAGTAAAATTCATCCTTTTTGTGACCTTCGACAATGCATACAATTGTATAACTACCTCTGCAATCAAAGCATGTAACACTTACATCATCCTAAAAGAAATTTCTTTGTGCCCCTCTGTAGTCAATTTATTCCCCCACCCTAGCCTCTGGTAACCACTGTTCTGTTTATATATATTTAGTTTTGCCTTTTCCAGAACGTCATATAAGTAGAATCATGTAGCATTTAGCTTTTTGAATCTAGCTTCTTTCACTTCGAAAAATGGATATAAAATCTATTCATGATGTTGTTTCATAAATTAGTTTGTTATTTTTTATGGCTAAGTAGTAATCTGTTGTATGACTATATCACAGTATGTTCAGACATTCACCAGGTGGAGGATGTTTGTAGTGTTCTAGTGTGAGGCCATTATGAAGAAAGCTGCTATAAACATTTTCATACAGGTTTTCCTGTGAACATAGGATTTTATTTCTCTTGGATGTATTTATTTCTCTCTCTCTTTTTTTTTTTCTTGAGATGGAGTTTCACTCTTTTTGCCTCAGCTGGAGTGCTATGGCGCCATCTTAGCTCACTGCAACCTCCACCTCCCGGGTTCAAGTGATTCTCCTGCCTCAGCCTCCCAAGTAGCTGAGATTACTGGCACACGCCAACACACCCGGCTAATTTTTTGTATTTTTAGTAGAAATGGGGTTTCACTGTGTTAGCCAGGATGGTCTTGAACTCATGACCTCAGGTGATCTGCCTGCCTCGGCCTCCCCAAGTACTGGGATTACAGGCCTGAGCCACTACGCCTGGCCTCTCTTCTTTCTTATTACCTAGGAGTAGGATTGCTGGTTTGTGTGGTGGTTTAACACTCGCCGTGCCTAACGGTTTTCCAAAGTCCCAGAATCATTTTGCATTTCTACCAGCTACGTGTGAGAGTTCTAGTTGCCCCACATCTCAGTAGCAATTGATATTGTCAGGTTTGGATTTTTTTTGTTAATCTAATAAGTATGTAACGGTCCTCCTCACAATCAGAGTGTCACTTATAATCAAGGATATCAAGCTTCTAAAATCTGACTTGCTCAACATGTCAGAATGCGGAAACTTTGAGAGATTATTTTCCTCTCCTTTACAGCAAATTGAATATTGATTGATATTGAATATTTATTATAGAGCTCATAAACTCATAAAATAGTTTGTATGCAGAATATTGTATATAAGAGAATGTGCACCTTATAGTTTTTATAAGTTCTCAAATTTTTAAAATTAAAAACCATTATGTGAACATCATAATTGAAACTAACACTAAAATTTCTGAATTATAGACAACTAAAAATTCTGAATTATAGACTATTCTTTAATGCATTTATGTTAAAGATCAGTGCTTATCAAATCTCAGCAACTTCAGTACATCATAATATAAATAGAAAAAACAGATCAGTGCTTAGAATTGTTAATATTGTGTTTTTATTTGAATTATCTTACTAACTTGTTTTTTTTAACCTGTTCTCACTCAGAGTCCCTCCTCCCCTGACAGGACCCTATTCAGGGTTTCCCTTCTTAAAGTCTCCCCGAGTGAGGAACTCTCTTAACAAGGGCCCGCTCCTGGTGCGATGCTATAGCTTTTCATCCCATCTCAGAGCCCCCCCGAAAAAGAAACAAGTGATCAGAGTACCAGTCAGGGTACCTCCCAAAAGCCCAGCGATCTCCCCTCCATCCAGTCCAAGGTATCACTTTTTCACCTTTTCTGGTCCTTTCCCCGACAGGGATTAATGGTATTACCCATTCAGGTCTTTCTTCACCCCAGGCCTTGTGGGACCGCCCTTAATCATCCAGTGGTACTGCCCCCTTTTAGGATACACCACCGCCACGCACAGAGAATCTCCACCCAGAAGCAATGACATCTGGGGTCTTTCCCCAGTCCCCTGGCATGGTATTTCTTACAAACTTTCTACCTCCCACTGGCTAATGGAATTGCCCTCCCAATGGCTCCCCTACCCATGACACAAAAGCCCAACATCCCCTTCCTTTCTTTCCAGATAAAATGGTTTTGCCTTCTCAAGGTCTCCTGCCTTCAAAACCCAACATTATCATCACCCACCAATGGTGCCCCCTGCACAGGCCCAAAAGTCTTGTCCCCTCTAGATCTGAGTAAGATATCATCTACTCAAAGATGCTCTCCCTAGCCCACAAGGCTAACAGAATCCAACCTTCACAGCCCCACAGTATCTCTGAATCCAATAATTTCACCACTCAGAGCCTCAGTTTCCCTCTCCAAACCAACTTCTGGGACTCAGGGTCCATCCCAACCAACCTTTTCTCAGAGCTGGTGGCATAACCTCTGTCTACCCGCCAGCCCCCAGCTGCCTAGCCCAGTGGTCTTTCCCATCGCAAGCAGCACCTGTGTCCACTGAAACTCCACTTAGACAGTGCTTGCACCATGTTCTTTTTTTTCTTCTTCTTTTTTCCCGAGATGGGATCTTGCTACATTACCCAGGCTGGCCTCGAATTCCTAGGTTTAAGCAGTCCTTCTGCCTCAGCCTCCCTAGTGGCTGGAGTGACAGGTGTGTACCATCACACCTGGCCCTATTTTACCAACTTATAAACAATTGAAACCTGATGGTTAATTTGACAATTAAACCTTGATAAGCTTTTATCAAAGTTTTCAAAGCCAATGATTCAAAGTTACGTCATAGTTTTTATTAATACTGGTGCTAAATATTTACCTTAAAAATGCATCAAGGGACCAGGCATGGTGGCTCATGCCTGTAATCCCAGCACTTTGGGAGACCAAGGCAGGCGGATCACCTGATGTCAAAAGTTCAAGACTAGTCTGACCAACATGGCGAAACCCTGTCTCTACTAAAAATAGAAAAATTAGCCCGGTATGGTGGTGCGTGCCTGTAATCCCAGCTACTCAGCAGGCTGAGGCAGGATAATCGCTTGAATCTGGGAGGTGGAGGTTGCAGTGAGCCGAGATGGCACCACTTCACTCCAGCCTGGGCAATAGAGCGAGATTCCATCTCAAAAAAAAATGCATCAAGGAATAACCAAATGAAGCAAAATTTTATTTTCTTTGGAAAACATTTGAGGTGATTGGTCAATTGTAAAATTGAATGTATATCAAGATCAGTTTAATTCATCTGAATTTTGCTTAAGGTGATTTCACTTTTTGCTCTCTGATAGCTTTATTCAGGTGGAATTACATGCCATGAAATTTACTCATTTTATTTTTTTATTTTTATTTTTTAAGTTAGGTTGTGTTCAGAATTTACTCTTTTTAAATCTGCAGTTCACTTTTTTTTTTTTTTGTAAATTTAGAGTTGTACAGTCATCACCATCATCGAATTTTAGCACATTTCTATCACCTCAAAAAGATCCCTCGTGCCCATTTGCTGCTATTCCACATTATAACCTTCCACCCCTGGCAACCACTGATCTATTTTGTGTCTGTATAGATTGGCTTTTTCTGCATATTTCATATAAATGGAACATATAATATTTGGTCTTAAGTATTTTTGAAATGTATAATTTTGTTGTGGAAATAGTAGTTGATTTTATCTATTTCTTTCTTAGACCTTTCTCTGTATTGAATTTTCACATTGTCAGTACCACTCAGAAACAGTGGTTTATCCTACTGCAGCAAGTTCATTGAATTCTGTTGGCACTGGAATTTATCCCTGTTGTAACCAAAAGATTCTTCGGTTTGATCCTACTCAGCTTACAAAGGTGAATTTTGAATATTGCTCTTTTGTAGCTACAGTTTTTAAAGTATAACAGTAATACATTAATGTATAAAAGACTTCCAACAATACATAAATAAGTATAGGAAGAAGTTCCTCTTTATAATACTCTCCCATTTTCCATCTCTTCTTAGAGATAATCACTGTTAATGGTTTCCTTTCAGACCTTCTTTTGTACCTTTCAGGCACAAATTATATATTTTTTTTGTTTTTTGGAGGTTTTTGTTTTTTGTTTTTTGAGATGGGGTCTCCCTCTGTCGCCCAGGCTGGAGTGCAGTGGTGCCATCTCGGCTCACTCCAGCCTCTGCCTCCCAGGCTCAAACAATCCTCCCACCTCAGCCTTCCGAGTATCTGGGACTCCAGGCACACGCCACCATACTCAGTAATTTTTTATATTTTTGTTAGAGACGGGGTTTCGCCATGTTGCCCAGGCTGGTCTTGAACTCATGAACTGAAGCGATCTACCTGCTTTGGCTTCCCAGAGTGCTGGGATTACAGGTGTGAGCCGCCACACCCAGACTTATATATGATTTTTTGTTTTGGAAACCAGATCATACTAATAGTATTCTGTAATTTGCCTTTTTTACTCAACAACGTAACTAGGGTATCTTTCTGTGCTATTTTATTTAACTGCTGTATAATATTCCAAGCTATGTATATATCACAATTTAACCATTCTCCTATTAATGAACATTTAGGTGGTTTCTAGACTGATGGTATTACTGTGTTGCAGTGAATATCCTTGCACATATATATTGATGCAATGTGTGAGTATTGCTATAGGTTAGATTCTCTGATCACAAACACTTTTGAAAATGTTCTGTAATTAAATGTCATGTGTGAATGAAAGGAACCTAAAGCTCTTTATCATCATCCACACAAAAATACTTACAAAGCACCAAAGATGTGCCATACACTGTGCAAGGTGGAGGATAGCATGTAAAATTGGATCATTTATGCCCTTGTGGAACTTATAGCTGAGGCAGTAATACCAAAAGGAAAAAAAGCACCCAAATAAATGTTTGAAGATACATACAGGGCCCTAAATGTCTATAATAGGCTGGTATCATTCAGCCATAGACATCAAAGAAATCCTCAAAGGAGTTGGCATTAAGTTGAGATCTGAAGGATTCATAGGAGTATGTGAGGCGAAGAGGAAGGGAAAGAGTGTTCTAGTCAGAACAGCAAGGTCAGAAGGAACACAGTGAGTAAAAGAGACTGACAACCTGTGGCTGTCGTAGAAAACATGCATAGTTCAAGACAAGTCTGGAGAGGTAGGTAGGTGTCAGTCCATGCTGGAGCAGGATGTCATAAGCCATGTTCAAGTTTTTCTTTTATCTCCATTTTGAAAATATCAGTTGCAGTGTGGAGAATGCACACTTGAGGGGTAGTCAGTGGAATCACGTACAAAAGGAAGTTATCATAGTAGTCTTAGAGAGAGATGATGGTACCAGAGCAGTGAAGATTAAGAGAAGTGGATGAATTTAATATTTAAGAGATAAAACTGAAATTATCTGACAGATTGTACTGCAGAGGGAGAGGGGGAAGGATGACTCAGTTTCTTGTTGGTGCTACTGGATAGCTGGTGGTGCTATTCACTGAAGAGGAAGCAGCAGATGGAAATCAGGTTTTGAGAGACTCATGAGTTCTGTTTGGATATTTTGAGTTTGAGGTGCTTTCTGAGATAACAAGACAGAGGCCGTTAGATATATGAGTTTTGGAGCTCAGACAAGTGGTTAGGCTGGAGATAATAACTCATAAGTTTTCCTGCAATAGATGATAGTTAAAGCCAGCAGGTATAGGTGAGCATATGGAGAGCAAAGGGAAACTACAGCTATGGCTGGATGAAGCAGCATGAGCCTGCAAAGGAGAATGGTCAGGGGCAGCCAGAATGATAGGAGAAAAATTGAGGATGTTGAGGGAGTAATATTAAAGAAAGAGGAGTGGACTGTGGTGCCTAGTATGGCTAAGAGGTCAAATAAAATAATGAAAGAACTGTGTCCTTTGGCCTTAGTGACAGGGAATTCATAGGTATGAAGAGCTGTTTTGGTGGAGTGCTAGATCCAGAAGCCAGGTTTGTATGGGTTGAGAAATGAGTGAGAGATTAACAAATGGGAACAGTATATATGACATCTCTTTTGGGAAATTTGAGAAAGGGAGGAGATAGATTAGTAATTTAAGTTATGAATATTTGTTTAGTGTTTGTTTTTTGTTTGTTTGTTTGTTTGAGAAGGAGTCTCACTGTTGTCCAGGCTGGAATGCAGTGGCACGATCTCGGCTCACT